TAGTTTTGATGCAAAAACGCATGATCGCACCGGCTCGCCTGGTGCGTTCCAGCCTTTGTTATGTTTATTATTAGACTGGTTGCGTATTTTAGACTAGATTTTATAAATTAAACTATAATCTAACGATGGAGTGGTAAATATTCGGCTGCTTGGCCAGTACACCTTTCCTTCTTTGCGTAACTTTTTGATTCACTGACCTTGATGAGACTGATAGTGCGGTCAAAACACAAAAAAGATCATGCAAATTGTGACCATGTAAATTTAAATTATAATTTAGATCATGTAAATTTAAATTATAAAGACCATATAAATTTAAAAATTATAACTCTTTTCCATTTTCTCTTTTTCCTTCTTTCGTTTTTCTTTTTCCCTTTTCTTTTTTTTTTTTTCGCATTACTTTCTCTTTCAAATGCACAGATGTGAGTAATACTTTTACAAAAGGCTTGTACCTTCTTTTCGGAGATTGGATAGATCACTGCATTAGATAAGCACTGTTGTCATGGCGATTAGCATACAGTGAATGCACAGCCTTACACAAAGTTTGGCCAAATTAATCGCCTGCTTGCTTTCTTTGTAGCAATTAGTTGGGGTTGAAAATGCGGTGCGCCTTGTGTAACCATTTTCAGTTGTAAGAGGATCTGAGATAGTACCCGGAACGGAGCAACTCCTTATTGTAATAAATGCTGCTGCTGTTGCTGTTGTAATTGCCTACTTTCAAAGATAATTCTCAATCGATTCACGCAAACACTGTGTGTTTGAGGAACAGTTCCGAGGATCGTCTGGTGAGAGAGGGTAGGCAAGGGATGGTGGAGAGGGGAAGTGCAAATTACATCTCCAGAGTCTGGATCTTTAAAGAACAACTACTTCGTAAACAGAAAACAGCGCAAAGACAATGTGGGTGCGAGTTATGAAATTTGAAAAAAAAAATTTTGTAAATCAAACTGAATCTTTGATATCTCCCGGAAACTGTAAGTAAGTAAACGTTTTAAGACCAGGGGAGAAATTCGGGTCCATGCACCTGTATATATTAGTTGTTGGGAAATGGGCGGACTAGGCAGCTTCGTCGAATACGTAGGAACTGTATCCTCGATCTACTATCATTTCGTGTCTTGAAGACTTTTGAAAAGCAAGTGGACTGTACAAAAACTTCCAAACTACGCTTATTTTGAAGCTTCTAGTCATTAATTATTGCTTGATTATTAAGATCTGTGTCTGCTCCTTGTCTGTTTTCGGTTATTTCCCCTCTTGATGATGTTGTTGGAAATCACGGTATTTTCAAGAGATTTTTCAATACTCATTGCTAGAATCATGGCTGCTTTTCATCGTGTTTGGTAGCAGTTTACACAAGCTTGCACAGGGAGACGAACAGACGGATGCACACAGAGGCACAGGAACATCCACTCATGGACACAGAGAGACACCGAGACATCACCAGGCGTAGAAGCGCTGAGTACTGTAGGGAAGAAGAAGCCGGGAGTGAAGGACGGTTGCTCGAGGATGAGGAGGGGAGCTGTGAGGTAGTCGGTGCAACTACACTAGAAACGAGCTGAATTGTCGAACTCAATTAGTTTCCGCTGGAAAGTGACAGAGTTGAAGCACTTGTGTTGCGGGACAGGGAGGGGAGCAGGACGAGGATGAGGAAAGGGCCGGCTGAACAGGCCAAGCAAAAGCTAAGACAGGACAGGCCAGAAGAGACAGGCACAGGCGCCTAGGGCGGATCAGAAAAGGACTACTGCAAGCCGTCAAGCTACAACAACCATGAACAGGAAAAGCAGGGGCATTAGCAACGACGGGCAGAGAGGAATCGAAATGATGCTTACAGAGTACTAAGGATTGACGGACGGGCAAAGACCCATACCAGGCATCCGAATTTGTACCAGGCAACCACCAGCCAGGCTTCACAGGGACCAACATACAAACCGAATTTGAACATACGATTGT